AATGCGCCCACAGCACCAATGTCGGCACACCCCTTGCACGTTTCGTGGCCCCGCAGGGAGCTCCACCGAAGGCCCCGGCACAGCCCTCATGCGTTTCGTGGTTCCTGGGGGATCGCTACCGAAGAAGATACTGAGAAGGGTCCTTCGCCAGGATAATTGCTTTCTCGCCTTTTCGCTTTCAATGGCCATCCGAGGCCTCAAGATGGCTTCAAGATGGCCCAAGAGGGCCCCAAGAGAGACCACGAGAGCTCCAAGACGGCCCCAAGAGCGCCCAAGAGCGCCCCAAGACCCCAAGAGCAACCCAGGAGGCGACTTTTGGGGCTCCCGACGGGGGACGCTAACTGGAGCTTCTCTCTTTTTTTGATCAATGACCTCCAAGATGGCCCCAAGAGCGCTCCGCTCCAAGATGGCCCCAAGAGGCGCCCAGACGGCCCCAAGAGGCGCCCCAGATGCCTCCAAGAGGACCCCAAGATACCCCAATAGGCTTCAAGAGGATCCCCGAGGCACCCAGGATACTCAACGACGGCCCTGGGCTCGCCAAGATGCCCCTTCTCCTCCTCCTCCTCCTCCTCCTCCTCCTCCTTGTCCACTGTCTCTTCCTTCTTCCTCTTCGCCCTCCTCCTCCTCCTTCTCCTTTTCCTCCTTCTCCTCCACCATCCTCCCCCTTTTGGGGTATCGGACGGCTTCCCTCGCCCTTTGTTCTTCTGCATGCTTCCCCAATTCCCTGATCACCTCAACTCCCCTGGGCATCGTTTCTGGATGGGCTGGTGGGGATGCGCGAAGCGTCAACAATCAACTAGTCATCAACTTTCTGAGGTCCACGCTGACTTCTTGGATCGACGCCGGAGCGCGGAGTCCGCCAAGGGGGGGACCCCAGGTGCCGACCCAAGAAATCCGCGTGGACCTTCGAGACGTTTGCGTTATGATTTGATCGACCCTCAAACATCGAATGATCAATCGATCGACGGTCGTGGCGACTGAAGGCGAACGAGATGGCCGATTCCGGAAACCCTGAACCGAAACATGTTTTCATGTCTTGTGGGCGCATTTTTGACTTCCGCCACCTTTCGCCGCCCTTCCGCCGGCTTCCGCCAGCGGAGGCGGCCTCGTTCTACTGTTTCCGCCGACCCTCCGCCGGCCTTCCGCCGCCTTCTGCGGCCAAAGAGATGACAACTCCTTTGATCCTCGAAGGTGAGCGTTTTCTTACTCAGCGTTTCGACATTGGGCGGACAGGGGGGGGGAGGGGGGGGAGGGGGAGTCTGGCTCCGAACCTCTGCTTACTGCGGCTGCTTGCAGCAGTGCGTCCGATGGGGGAGACTCCACGTGCTCCAAGATCGGGGGGGGGGGGGATGGGGGGGGCGCGAGGGCCCGCGCCGATGGGTAAACCAAGGAATGAGAGAACGATCGCAAGGCAAGGCCATGTCTGGAACGCCTCACTTGGGTGGGGGGGCTGCCTCGGGGGGGAACTCGGCGATGCCTCGCCGAGAGATCGGCGCCGTGCCCTCGAGAGCTATGGCGAGGCCCGCGCGTGCTCCTGGGCAGGGCCGGGCGGGGCTCGCAGGCCCCGCTGGGCAACGCATGGGGCTGCTCGGGGCCGATGCTTCCCCTCCTCCTCCGCCTCCGCCTCCTCCTCCTCCTCCTCCTCCGCCTCCTCATCCTCCTCTTTTTTCTCCTCCTCCTCCTCCTCCTCCTCCTCCTTCCCCTTCCCCTTGTCGGGAACGCCGAGGGGAACGCCGAGGAAGCGGAGCCGCGCAGGATGAGGATGATAATGATGAGGTGATGCTGATGATGCTGATGATGCTGATGATGATGATGATGATGATGATGATGATGATGCTGATGCTGAGGATGATGATGATGATGATGATGATGATGATGATGATGATGATGATGCTGATGCTGATGCTGATGCTGATGCTGATGCTGATGCTGATTATGATGATGAGGAGGAGGAGGAGGATGAGGGCCGGCTTCGATGAATGGGGCTTCGGGGTCGATGCTTCCCCCCCCCTGCCGGCGCCCCTGCACAACACCGACGACGACGACGATCGGATCGGGTCGGACGAAAGGGGGGGTGTAGCGCACCTACTCGCGCAGGAGGCCTCCCCAACGTCTCCCCACACAAGAGGCGCCCACGTGGCAAGCTCCGAAACCCGGCACCCCAAAAACTCGTGCTCTCTTGGGGCGACTGGCTTTGATTCAGCCGGCTTCCACCGGCGGAGGCGCCCTCGTTGTACCTCCGCCGCCTTCTGCGAGGGAAGATGCGCCAACTCCTCGGCCTTCCGAGGCAAGGCCCCTTTTGGAGCGCCCCACGTAATTATCGAGGAACGCGACCACCATCTGCACGCAGAAGACTTCGTGAGGAGGCGGCCAGGGAGTCTGAACTGGATGGACCTCGGAAACATCTGTCAAGAAAGGGGCCTAAAACCACATCCGCTCAAAATCGGTCCCCAAACCCCTCCTGGTGTCCACATGTTTTCACCGCAGAAAAATTTTGACAGTCCCAGGGGTACTGGGAGGTGACCTGCATAGGGGGTGAAGAAAAGGGTCCTAACCTGAGCGAT